AATTGGCCGAATGGAAACCGCTGTGTGAAATGGAGTGTGTAACTGATATATGTATATAACTAACAGGAAGGAGGAATAGAAGGTTTGTTCACCTGCGTCTGAACGTAAAGGGGTATTGCTACAAAAAATCTGTTGGCCGCATTTGCCTGGAAGCGCGCGATAGTTAGCGTCACCTCGCACGCTACAGGACAAAGTCTACTGTAGTTTGGGTTACCCTACGGTATTTATTTGATGTGTCTTAGTGTGATGTGTGGATGCCGTCTACTAATGTACGTCCGGTCGTGACACTTATGTTGCAGAAAACCCTGTTAAATATATGAATAACCTTTGTTCGATGTTTTACATTACGGAACCTTTACGGTAAAATTATGAAAATTAATCGGATTAAAAAAGCGATTTAACTAAATAGTTGAAAAATATGAAAAATTCTGGGGCGCGTGTTGGACTATTCATTCACATTGTTTTTTATTGTTTTAGGGTTACAATAAGTAGTATAAAGTCTGTAAAAGTAACAAGACAATAACATCGCAACCATACAATAATTTGTAGTAGTTGCATTCAGTCTGTACTGTCCCCAACCTAACTTTACGACAGACTACGTTGTGTCAGTATGAACCTTCCTACACCCTTCCCTTTAGTAGCTGTGTGAAGTCTGTCGTACTGACTCGACAACGTACAAGGGTGTGTGGGTGGAAGAGAAAGACCAAGAATGCGTGAGTAACCCGTGCAGTTACTTGACGACGGTCGGCTGTTCTTGTCCGACACTAGCGTAGTCACTGACGGGAAGGCCTATAGAGGGTTTTCGTGTAAGTTCACTCGAAAAGTAATAGTGGTGACATGTTTATTTTTGACTAATTTAGACACCCCAACCTAACGAAAAAAGGAAAAGTCTAGATAATGTAATGTAATGTACAGTTAACAATCTGTGAAAATAGGGTTTCGCTGAATGTATGAGTTCATGACACCCCGTTAGGGGTGTCCTCGTTAAACGCGCCACTTCACACGGAACGGGTCCCTGTGTTTGTTGTACGACACTGACGTCACGCCCAAACTTGGACAGGGGACTAGAGACTTGTGGGTTGCGTGTTGGGTGACGTGGTGTGCGGAGGTAGATAAAGAAACATGAACATTAATTCAGATATGAACAACGGACCTATTCAACACCCCTGTTCATACCGAGTACATGTTTCCCGGTTTTTTTTTTGGAGGTTTTCATTACTGTTTGACCTTATATTTGTATGGACCTAATCTCTACAGGGCTCAGGCTAGCTGCACTAAAGTTTTCTAGCCTTAGCCCTCTTTTTTAGCCCCTAGCCCTAAAGAAAATTAAACAAAATAAAAATATTTATGAAAAAAATTTAAGAACATAAGTTACAATGTTTTGTTTTACTGGTACAAGGTTCAGAATTCAGTAGACCGGAATCAAAACCAAAGTTTAATGTCTTGTAGTACATACACAACGAAGAAACCCCGAACAAAAGTATCTGGACCAACGGCAATAAAGAGATTCGGCGATGAGGTCTTAAAATGTATGGAAAGGGTCTTAAAAAAGGTCTTAAAAGTTATTACATTTGACTTCAGGATTCCTGCATATTTTTGTTAACATGGGACTGATAGTTATCCTTCACTTCTTCACTAGGCTAAACTTCATGTTACTTTTTATATAGAAAATTCCGGAATGTAATTTAGAACTTAGAAAGTTTTTTCCCCTAATGCTTATTATAAAAGACAGCCAGGCACTCAAGATCTTACATCAATACAGAAACCCACAGGACGGATACAGATACAATGGGACAGTCAAAAGTCAAAATCATTTAATTGAATAGCCCTCCTCTCTGTTTTTATCTATGATGAATACAAAGATAAATATCTTGTTTTCAATTGCTGATTCTCTTTCATTTCACTTTCAGACAGTACTTGAAGTCATACGAGATGAAGACTGCCCTTCTATGATTGTGCCAAGCAGACCTTGTAAGTGAATCTGAATAACTGCACATTCACACATAGCTCATCATTTGTTTGCCAAGCCACTAAAAAGACCAAACATTTTTTTTTCAAATGTATTTCAGTTCTTCAACGGTGCTTCCCCGATTTCATTACGAGAAATGGAACTTTAACTGTAGCCAACCAGACCATCTTCAAAGACGGTGACAATAACAAGAGAAGTGTCAACGACCTTAAAGATGCTGCCAAGTAAGATCTCCTCCCCTCCAACACAATGCTTTATTTCTTGTTATTCAACCAGTTGTGTTGTTCAAACAGAAACGTCACAAACTTTAGATCGCCATGGGCCTTTTTGCTGTTGTAAAAGAATATTCATAAAAAATACCCTGCAAAAGAAGTTGTTCTGAACTCTTAAACTGTCAATAGGGTTGCCAACTTTGCTCCCAGAGAGCTCTGGACAGAAATTACAGGGTAGGACAAGTGGGCATGTCACTGACGTCAATGATGCCCAGCAATGTGTCCAACCACATTCAAAATCATTTGCATGTTTACTGCATGAAAATGCAGCTAACTCACAAGTTCAAGAGCAGAACTTACAGCAGCTGCTATGTAAATATACACTATCAACATGCTAATTGGCTAAAATGGCTTTAAACTTTGGAGAAACAGAGAATTCATGTATTTAAACAAGTGAGCTGATATTATTTACATACATGATCCTGTTTGGCTATAATTCACTTTAGTTTTGCCTGAATGACCGTGAAGGATAATGTGCTTTAATGCTTTTCTCTTTGTAGCCAAGTAACTGCCGTGCAGCAAGGAGAGGAAAGGTCTCAAGAAATGATTTATTTCAGCTTTTTAACTTTGCATCCGCTGTAGCCAGTAGCTTTGTGTAGACTAACCCTTCCTATTCATCTTGAATAATCTGACCCTGCTTCCCTCCACCTGTAGCAGTGAACATGAATTAGAACAGACTCATATAATTGTTTTGTGCAGGGACGTGCACGGAGGGGCTATTGCTCTAAACTGGAAAAAGGGCCTCCCCCTGGAAAAAAAACATAAGACCTTTTGAAAATTATAACTTGTTTTTAATGTAAAAGAAACCAAACGATTATTACATCAACTAGATTGAACAGTAATTCACATCTCAACAAAATAAGCTAAGGCGACTACTAGCATTCAGTGACTTGATTTTAAAAATGAAAACCAGGGACATTTTTTGTTTTGCGGTCCCATATCTCATTAAAATATCTAATGTTAGTAAATATTAAAGACAAAATGGGGACAATTCTGTTCTAATGTAGTTTGACCATCTGTGCAGACATACTGATAAAATAGGGACTCTAACTAATTACCTTAAATAAACTCACTAATGAATGAAACCAGTTCAATACGCATTATTCTTATTCTTATCATTCTTTATGAGCGCAGTAACGGTAAGGTATCTAATTATTTATTTAGTATTCCATAACTTAATAACAGAGATGGTCAAACTAAAGTGGTAGAGACATGGCAGAAATCCTACAATGAAGCGGGACAGTGAACTGTTCACCCGTGAGAGGGCGATCAAGAAAAGAGAGCGAGCGGCCCCGTTGAGGGAGTTTACAGATGAAAAGACACAGAAAGACAGAAGCTCAATAACAAGTAGGCTATGTTTAGGTGTTTTTTTGTAAATAACCGATGGTATCAAGAGGAAGTAAAGTCCCCTGGTTTGTCCCTTATACCCTAACTGCCATGAGACAACTCAAAATCAAGTTTCCAAAATCCGACACTGAGGTGGTCTTAAAGCACCGGCAGATGACAGCGCTGACAAAGTGTGTTTCCCGCAGCGAGACGCTACAATACTAATTGTGGGCTCATCATGTAGATTCGGCCACAACAGAAAAAAGAGAAACAAACTCTCGCTCTCTCTAGAGGGGCAGGTCAGCCAAAAATGCCAAACGGGCCGTTTCCCGGGCAACATTAGCCCGTACCTGTGCACGTCCCTGATTATAAGCATAAATGAATGGAAGGAATAATAAAGAGTGCTTGAGTAAGGTGGAAGTGGAGCAGGCTGATGTGACCGCAGTAGTTACCTTCCTCCAGCAGGGGGCGGCAGTGCAACACTCTGGATGTTAGCGGCACTTTCTTTAATGAACACGAAGAAGCTGCTTCCTCCTGCTGTATGCTCATGCCTGTAGTTGGGAGGTTGGTTTGAAAGCTGTCAGGTAAGAAGATATATTTTTTATTTATTGATAATAATAAACTGTCAATGACTAAATCATCCCTGTTAAGCTGCACTCTCTTGTTCCTCGTGTGAAAACATTAGCTTAGCCGACACGAGCTGCTAGCAGCTATGCTAGGTAAACAACTAGAGGTAGCTTGCAATCAGAATTGTAGACATGCTAACTTTAGCAATAATTAAACAAATCACAACTTTTGTATTTTTTTAACAACTGTATATGACCGCGTTTCCTGTTTGAATATGCTTCTACTCCAGATTAAACATTGGCTGAATGAGACACTAAACCTGTCTTAATAGGAAAGATAAACATGTAGCCTTACCATGTATATAATACTTTATTTTCCCAGGCCTCACTGACAGTAAACATCTCTTTTATAGTAGGCTTACAATGATCAGATGTAAATACAGAATTTTGTTTAATTATTTCCCCACAGCCTTGCAGCTTTTCAGAAAACTTAAATGTGTATGTTTTTCTCAATTGTATTGTTCATAAGCTGCAATTATACATTCATTTGACAAACCTTAAATACATATAATACTGCTTCACCTAAAGTCAGGGTCATACGCACCCTCAAACTGTTAAGGATTATTTTACACAGCAAAGCCACATGTTTATATCTTGATCACAATTTTTTCTATGCTAAAAAAGAGAACAACTTGGGTTTGAGAAACTTTTGTTTCTGACATTTAAAGACCAATAATTGCTCTAAAACATAGTATGCAGATGAACCTAATTACAAATAATATTGTCATTAAAATGTCCAAGGAGTTGTCTTTAAACGTGTTGTTCTTTACGTTCAGACAAGTCTGTGTTCCCTGGTTTCTCTTTTCATTTTTGATACTTTTGGTACTATAATGACTTAATACTTATAGACCAACAGTATTTCAATATGATATAAAAGTAACAAGCTAAATACCTGCTTATTTTTGAAAACATGAGACCAAAAGTTAGAACATACATAACATAACATACAATTAGAGTTAAGATTTGATTTCTTATTTCCTACTGAAATGAAATATTAAACAAAATTAAATTCATATATTGAAATGATGTGCCTTGGAGTGATCTCAACATATTTGTTTTCCAGAGATGAACAGTGAGAATTTCAGCCTGAGTGAGAAGATCGTGTCGACCTCTTACGTTCGACAGGGCAGTCAGGCGCGCCGCAGCCATGAGCAGCTGATCAGACTCTTGCTGGAGCAGGTACCGTCCTCAGCCTCATGTCTCCTTAAGGTCGCTGCAGATTCATCAGCTTCTCTCATTGTGTGTCACAGGGAAAGTGTCCAGAGGAGGGATGGAGTGAGAGCACCGTGGAGCTCTTCCTCAGCGAGCTGGCTGTGATGGACAGTAATAACTTCCTGGGAAACTGCGGGGTCGGAGAGAGGGAGGGCCGCGTGGCCTCCAGCCTCGTGGCCAGGAGACACTACAGGTTCAAGTTTGACATCTGTATAATGTTGTGTCCAATGTGAAAATACACATATTTTTACAAGATGGATTTAGGTAGATTGAATTAGGTCTCTAAATTTGTATTGCTAATTTTATGCCACACAACATTTGATCCCAGTAATATAGCTTTGTGAGGCAGATATTGATGTGACTTAATACAATTTGGTCGTTATCAGGGTTCTCTTTATTTTTATAAAAATAGCAAAGTCATTGAATTAATTGATCTCAAATTAGGTCCCGATTCGTATTAAATTGTCTTAAAATAATCCCTTTTTTAAAAGTATTTTAGTTGCTCAGATATGGGAAGTACGATTTTATGATGTTTTCTTTCGGTCATTGCCTTCTAAAATCTGAAAAAAGGGGGACAGGTATTTACAGGCAGTTGATAGGGAATTAACTCAGTCAACATCTGTTTAAAATATATAACGTTATGCCGATCCGGATAAAGTTGCCTGTAAAATTATTGGGGGGGAATAAAAAAAAAAAGTGTTGAATTGAGCTTCCTTCATGCTGTGGGAAACCTACATGATGAGGCTCCTAATTATATTAGTTATTTAAGAGTTTCAACCAAATAAGGCTGTATATTTAAGTGTTAAAAACATCTTAATTGTGCCTAGCCAACAATAACACTGTAAACGTACTCATGTATGATAAGTTCACATTGCCCATACTAATAACGCTTGGGCTCTACTCAATATAGTACTGAAAACGATCAGAAATACAACTCTTCTCTAGTGTCCAGTGAATGTTGAACGCTTCCTGTTTGTTTTGAAGGTTGATCCATGGCATCGGTCGGTCAGGTGACATCGCTGCCGTCCAGCCCAAAGCTGCAGGGTCCAGTCTGCTCAACAAGCTCACCAACTCCGTGGTGTTGGACATCTTAAAGCTCTCAGGTGTGTATTTATTATGAAAAGTACTTTGCAAGAAAATTGAATATTTGTATCAAGGAATGTGTTTTATTTTTGTTATGTTGACGCCACTGAAAGATGTGCTTAGACTGGGCAAAAAACAGATGAAGTCATGCACTTGCATTCATTTATTGGATGTTTATTATGCTTTGTGGGTGGGACCTCTTTTGCCGTGTCATCGCCATTCATCTATTTGCAACAAAAGAAAAAATAATAAAATTGTTTACTAGAGCACAAAGTAAATACAAAAATAAAATTAACCTTTGCGCTAGGATTCAGTTTACAGTACAAAAAAAATACATTTGTATAACCATGCGTTGCTCCTCAGGTGTCCGGAGTGTGGCCAGCTGCTTTGTAGTTCCCTTGGCAACAGGAATGAGCTTGACTCTGTGCTTCCTGACCCTTCGCCACCGAAGACCCAAAGCTCGCTACATCATTTGGCCTCGCATCGACCAGAAGTCCTGTTTCAAAGCCATGATCACAGCAGGTGCAAATCCCATCAGTCACCCTCACTTCCTGCTCACACAGACAGAAATATGGCAGCAGATGGCCCTTTCTTGGGGGAATATATCTGAAATGGTGCCATGTGAAGCATATTTGTTGAAGTATGTGATGGCAGACACAATCTCTGCACTTTCTGTTGGCATTTTCTCCCCGATGCTAGTTAGACATGTGCTCCTTCCTCATAACATCATCACAGGGCTTCCTCCGCCTCCTGCTCTTACTTCCCTGTTTCCTCAGGATTTGAACCGGTGGTGGTGGAGAACGTTCTGGAGGGCGATGAGCTGCGGACAGACCTGGAAGCAGTTGAGCGCAAGATCGAGGAGCTCGGAGCCGAGAACATCCTGTGTGTTCATTCAACTACTTCCTGCTTCGCCCCGCGGGTCCCCGACAGGTGAATAATGTTCCTTCGCAGCCTTTCACCTACTCCACACTGAAGGCCTTAGCCTAGATTTCCCGCTTGCTGACAGTTTTTGGATTGCAGCCAATGAGAGCGCGACAGAATTGGGGGTAACCTTGGGAAGGGGAAGCCTGGTACAACAGGAAGTACTAAGAAATAATTCATTTTTAACACTCGTATAATGTGAATAGTATCCTATGTTTACATTTTTACAATTTACTTGGTCTAATATAGTGTATACCAACTTATCTACATGTTTATATATTGTTCCATTTGATTGATACACCCTATACATATGTATGTGTCACTGTTGATAAGTATATTTTACTCTTAATGTTTATTTTCTAATTCATTTTATTTTTAATTAATGCTCAAGCCCTTGTTTACGCTGCTATGACAAATTAACTAGCCAAATTCGGATCAAAAGTCAATTAATTCTGATGATTTGTTATGATCTTGTCCTATAGGCTGGAGGAGCTGTCCATTCTGTGTGCCAAACAGAACATTCCCCACATTGTGAACAATGCATACGGAGTGCAATCGTCTAAATGCATGCACCTCATCCAACAGGTGGGTTCCACACACTATATCGCTTGTAATTGGCCCTCATATGCACTTGACCCGTTGGTGACAGTTTGGTGTTGGCTGTCTGTCCTTAGGGGGCTCGTGTCGGAAGAATTGACGCCTTTGTGCAGAGCTTGGACAAGAACTTCATGGTTCCAGTAGGTGGCGCCATCATCGCAGGCTTCGACGAGTCCTTCGTACAGGAGATCAGCCAGATGTACCCAGGTGAGTCAAGTGGGATTTCTTTTTTTTCACGATTTATTTATTGCAAAACGTTTCCTCTGAATGATAAGCACAATGACATCATTTACAATCTAGAGGAATGAGGGATATGAACTCAGTTATTTGGGAGGGAATTTCTTTTGAATCAGAACAAAAGCATTCTCTGACATATGAGTTCACAGAAACAAAAACAAATATTATAATCAGACATTTTAAAATATTTGTTGTATTTCTATACCCAACTGCTTTTCAAACTGATAACTTTTTATCAGTTTCTTAACCTTTTTATCTATAAATGTTGACTTTTGGATCTTACAATGCTTTTGAGTTATTTTAAATGTTTGATTTGACGACACTGGTAAAAATGTTTTGCGAATAGTATAATATAAATAAGATTACTGTAGCCTCATTTTTATCTGCAGCTGTGCACACACACTGTCTTTTAAACATGATGAGTAGTCCTACAAAAGAAAGCTGCACAGCATTTAATTGTGGACTTACAATTTGAATGTCAAATGTATTAATTAAGCTTTAAAGTATTTGGTTTAGCCCTGATATTTTGTCAGGGATTTGAAAAAAACCTCATGTGATGCTTTACCTTTACGGCCACCAGTGCTTACTTTGTGCTCAAGGTTAATATGAGGAGTGGATATCTCTACCTATAATCAGTTACTGTGTGCACAAAGTCACTTGTTGTCCTCTTTTGTCCAGGTCGAGCGTCCGCCTCTCCTTCCCTGGACGTCCTCATCACCCTCCTCACCCTGGGAGCCAGCGGCTACAAGAAGCTCCTGTCAGAGAGGAAGGTGAGAGCGTGCACACATCAGCCCACAACACCACATTTATTTAATCATGTCTTTCAGGCGGAGTTTCATATCTGCAGGATGCTTCCATGTTTTTAACTTGTGTATGAGGCGTTGGGAAAGCGAGATTAGAAGGAAAGGGAAATAAATGTAATTATTAATATAAAAATCAGTCATATTCCAGATGGTGTGATTAAAAACAACATGGATTGGTAGAAGGAAAATACTGCGGCAATGTCAGCCTGACTATGTTTCTGTGTGTGTGCTGTGTCAACATCTCTCCCCGGAAAACTGAAGAGAACAGGCTTACATAAGGTTGTATTTTAATCTGCAGTGATCCACTCTCTATGATTCTGTGTGTGTGTGTGTGTGTGTGTGTGGTGTGTGTTGTGTGGTGTGTGTGTGTGTGTGGTGTCGTGTGTGGATGTCGTGTGTGTGTGTGTGTGGTGTGTGTGTGTGTGTGTGTGTGCTTACATAAGTTGTATTGAATTGCAGTGGATCACTCTCTCTGACTTCCGTGTGTCTGTGTGTGTGTGTGTGTGTGTGTGTGTGTGTGTGTGTGTGTGTGTGTGTGTGTGTGTGTGTGTGTGTGTGTGTGTGTGTGTGTACCTGCATTCTGACTGAGGAAAGAGACTTTGAACTTGAGCGAGTCAGTGTAAAGGGAGGCGTGTGCTATAGCAGGATGAAATTGATCCAGAAGTTTCAGGAAACATCCCCTGGTGGCTCCCCCGTTTAAAGCAGGCTTTTCTCACAATGCAGCATCCCCCCTCTTAAAACAGGAATCACTGCAGCACTCTCACACCTCCGAACTGCTCCTCCACAAACTGCACATGTGACTTTATCTGTTTTATGTTGATGCTCAAACCTCGGTAAGAAGCAGAAACAAATGACTCTTAAATCTGCATCAACGGTCAAGAAAACAAGTAATCACCATCTGTTCATGAAACCCAAAGATGACACAACTACAAGATGTCCTACGACCCCCACAATGCCCTCTGCGGGAAAGCGTAGCAGAAATATACATTTAAGGAAATACCTCAGGCCTCTCGGATGACCCGAAGCCATCAACGCTTATTGATTTCCCTCGCTCCACATTATTTATAATTAATATCTAGGACGCGTTTTCCATAGTGTCTGCAGAAGTGAGTGATTTCCCCACATCCCCCACATGCTTTAAATAATTCAGACTTTTCATCTGATAATTTACAGACTCATGTAACCGTTAGGGTAGAAATTGCAAAGAACCAGCAGATGATGTGTTTTTTTTAGGTAGGATGTGGTTTAGTCAACACACACACACACACTCACACACACACTCACACACACTCACACACACACACACACACTCACACACACTCACACACACACACACACACACACACACACACACACGCATAGATACACACACATATACACACATATACACACACATACACACACACACACACACACACACACACACACACACACACACACACACACACACACACACACACACACACACACACACACACACACTCNNNNTGCTTTAAATAATTCAGACTTTTCATCTGATAATTTACAGACTCATGTAACCGTTAGGGTAGAAATTGCAAAGAACCAGCAGATGATGTGTTTTTTTTAGGTAGGATGTGGTTTAGTCAACACACACACACACACACACACACACACACACACACACACACACACACACAGTTATTGTCTGCAGAGTCGTGGCCGTGCACTCCCTCCTCTGCAGGGGTAAGAAAGTCGTCCATTGTTGCTAGAGAACAAGGGACACTTGGAGACACTTGTGTTTGACTCTTGACAGAAAATATTTTCCTTCTTGGTGCTTTCGAATTAGAATAGTATGAGTCAGCAAAGTACGCAGCAGACACACACACACACACGCTGTAGCAGAGAGCAGATGCTTTAATATGCGACGCTTCGCTGGGGAAGCCAGCAACAGAAACACTGATTTGTTGTTGTGCAGCTCCTCTTCATGTCCTGGCATCATAACATCTGTGTACTCCACCTTTTATCCAGAGCCACACACACTGCATCGAGAATCAAACACTTCATCATATTTCAAACATGTAGGTGTTAGAATCACTGGATTAAAGCATGTGTTCCTCCTCTCCTGCCTCTCTGGAGACAGGGGGGAGATAAGGGAGGGGGTCTGGACATGGACCAGTCTGCTTGTCGGTAGGTTTTGCTTGATTGGCAATAAAACCGAGGCTGCTGCTGCTAAAATAAGACTCTGGCAGAGTTTTCTATTTATAGCTCTTTTGTATGGCCCCCCTTCTACTTCTATGTCTCCATGCCTCTCTCTGTGTACGCATGTCCTGCAGGAGATTTATTTGCTGCTGGCTCAGGAGCTGAAGAGTCTCGCCTCTGCACACGGGGAGAGGCTGCTGCACACCCCACATAACCCCATTTCCCTGGGTAAGCTGCATGCACAGGCATCATGTATACACACTATTTAGTCCATACATTTTGGGTTTTTTCAATGGTGAAAGCTTCATTTTCTGAACTTATATTAGGGCTGCAAGAAATGATTGCTCATCATTTGATCTATAAAATGTCAGAAAAATGAAAAATGCCCATCCTAGTTTCTCAAAATCCAAAGGTCTTTGGATGGTCCGTGTCCATTGTCAGATCAGAACTCAAATATATTCTTAAATTTAAACGGAGGAAAGCAGGAGATCTCCATATTTGGGAGGCTGAAAACTGCATTTTCTTACATTATTAGCATGAAAAATGGCTATCAATCGAATATCTAAATAGTTGCCAATAGCTTTTTTTTTTTAATTAAAGCATCTGTAACATAAGCACATTCTTTTATTTCATCTGTAGTGTGTAGTTTTTTATATTTTGATGCATTTTCACTCTTTAACATGGCTGTGAGTTTCTTGAAAAGCACTCGATAAATCCAATGTATTTTACAGTATAATCAGTGTTTGTGTGTTGGGTGTGGCACCTCTCTTCCCCCCCCTACCCCCCAGCCATGTCTCTGGATGGTCTCCAGGCGGAGAGCAACGGGGCGGTGACTCAGCTGGGCTCCATGCTGTTCACCCGGCAAGTGTCAGGAGCCAGGTAAGAACCATAGGCTGTATTTAGGTATGGACACTTTAAAGGGGCCACAATCTGGCCTGGAAAGGGGAACATGGGGAGGGGAGTGAAAACAAGAGGGTGTGGAGGTTAGGCAAAAATAGGTCTGTGTGCCTGAGCTGTGCAGCAATCGGCCGGATGGATCTGCTGAATCTCAGGGAACAGCAACCCCTTTAGAAGATTACACCGCCCATCCTAATTTCCTGGGATGTTTCCATCACGGAGCGCCGTTGTCTCCACTGGAGCCCCGGGCACAAACACTGACACCATGTTAGGGTCTGTTCTTTTGTTGCCTCAAAGCTGCAAAAGAAATTCTTTTTCTCAATTTTCCCCCTCGATGGACAAAGCTTGGGAGCCCATCTAAATATTTAAAATATCCAGAATGAATGATTTATTTGGGTCATTATTTCATGCTGTGTTTTGAATGCACTCAGGGTTCAATAGCGTTAAAACGAAAAAGTCTCCACACATACAGACCAAGGGGAAATATTCAATATTCCGAAATCAGAGTGCAGAGCTTAATCTGTTATCCTTGAATCTGAGTAGCAAATGAGATGCATTGATATTTCAAATGTATGCTCCAATGACACACTTTAATCTTTATAATGCATTGCAGGATATGATACAAGGGAGCTGGCTTTTTTAACATCAACCATGTGCAACATATTAAGAGCTCTGTATCATATGAATGCATTTCTTCTCCATAATGGTCTCAGATCTGCTTGCTTACAAATCAAATTCACCATACTATAAATTCAACACAAATCCTAAAATCACAGCACACCAAAACATCATCAATGACAAATTCTTGAAAGCACCGCTTCCCAAATGTTGACCGAGTAGTAAAGAATGGAGTTAGATTACATATATTTAGTTTTCTAATGACTAGTTTACTGTAGCTAATGTTTTTGTTGACTAACTAATGTACCTCCTTCATTACAAGGGATATTACCACTCTCCAATAAAGTCAAATAACTTGATTTAAAATAAGTATTTGTCTGTCAAGTGAACAGCTTCAGCTTTAGCCAGGTCGTAGTCATAAAAAAAGGAATTCCCGGACATGCCAAATAACATTCTTGTTCCACATTATCCTCGTTTTCCACCCTTGTCTGTAGGGTAATACCGCTGGGCAAGGAGCAGACCATCAGCGGACACGTGTTCCGAGGCTTCATGTCTCACTCCGATGCTTACCCGTGTCCGTACCTTAACGCTGCCTCAGCTGTGGGCATCACGCGGGAGGACGTGACCCTGTGCATGAAAAGGCTGGAAAAGTGCCTGAAGACCCTGAAGAAAGAGAAAAAGGTGGCGAAAAGTAGCTCCCCCGTACTTCCACCGTGCCAGGAGGACACCACTGGAGAATGACTATAATAAGAAAACTGAGTTCTTCTAACTGTGAGATCTTCTTCTTCACCTCGTCTGAACTTTGTGTTTTGAAAGGCGGATGGATTATCAATCCAGATATTGTAATGAGGTCAAAGACTGGAGCTCAGCAGCTGGTGTGGAAACTTCCTCCAGGTGTTCATTGAAACAAAAGTGACTCGGGCTGATGTCACTGATTAATTCCCTCCTCTGTGAACGTGTCATAATTAGTATATATTTTAAGGACGCTAAATGCATACAAATGCTTCTCAGGAGCTTGTGGTTGTTTGTGAACACTTGCATTTTCTGTTTATGTTGAAATTTTTTTTAATTTCTAATGGCATTTGGACTCAAAATAGCTTGAAGATGAACAAGGGGCTTTACTTTGTGTGTCATTTCTCTTAATTAAAACCGTCCCAAGTCTCCCCAGTGCAATGGAATGTAATTACCCGTGGTTCCTCTCTGCTAATGTTAGCAGACACAGGCATGCTTTATGTGCCTTCTGCCTTTGGAAATGCATTAGGCCTTTCCAACTATTGACATATGAAACAAAATCGCTTGATAATGCAGTATGTTGCAGCATGTCTTCTGCAGTGTGATGTAATGTGATATAAAAACCGTCGAGCCATTATCTCCATTTGAAGCCGGTGAATTTAATCGGCTCTTTTACTTTCAGGCAGCAGAAAACAATATAATGAACAGATAATTGATTTAGTTCAGCAAACATGGATCACTGCTGTGTGGAGTAAAGCAAATGTTCACCAAACCTGCTATTAAGAATTTAAGATGCGTGTAGGTAAGTACAGTTACATGTGTTGGGACTTTACAAAAGGCTATACACACAGCCATAAAAATATCTAAAATAATGTACCTTAAATTGTTTTAGTTTGTCTAAGAATTAAGGCTAGTTTTGTTTACTATAAACAATCCATAGGGTCTTTGTAATTCATTTACTTTTGCCTGGTGTGAGAACAGAACCACTTAATATGTTTTACACATGACTTTCGTGTGTTACTTCTGTAATGTCAATATGTTCATGAAGTTAAAGCAGTCTTTAGTGTTTGCTAGCTTAAGTTTCAGTTTATCAGAAAAAGGTAAGTTTAGATTTTGAGGAAGGTACATATCCAAAGAAAATACATGAACTGTGCAGGATTTCGTTGATATGGAAATCAAACTCAAATTCTTCACTGAGAGGAAAACGTGTCACCTGCATTAGTTGGCAAACATACAGTAAGCTCTGATCTGAAAAGCTTACTTTAAAAGCATTTTGTGTTTCCTCTAATAACCCTGATCAGTAGTTCTTGCTGCGTCAGTGCCGGGCCCAGGTGTGCTTTAGATAGCAAAGTATACATTCAGCACACGCCGCTTTTTAAACTGTAGTTGTTAATGCAGGTCTGATGCATGTGCAGCAGCCCATCAGCCCTGGGAGAGTGGACTGAAGTCAGATAGATGAAGCTGCTGGATCAGCACACTTTCAATGTTCCCAGGCTGTAACCATTAATACAATAGAGGGGGGGTGCTCCAGCAGTACTCCTAAAAACACAGAAGAAGCATTATAAAAACAGCTTTTAGTTTTTTGTGGTAGTAAATGTCGTCAGTCAGGATGAAAGAATCCTGAATTGTAGGACTGATCCTGAATCAGTGCATCAGCTGCCTGGCTCTCTGTATGCAGAGCTGTTGTGCAAATGTTGCTCTCCTGATTGTTTTTGTCTTTTTCTCTCCCGTCACCAGTTTGCAGGGTTTCCCATCTTTTGCTGACGTTGCAGGGATACTGAGGGAGAGAGTCAGACACATTGTTTTGTGCAGGCCAGTTTTAAAGGAACCCCCCTTCTATTGATCAAGCCTGCTGCAGTGTGTAAATCAGAAAAGAGCTGCCACTAAGAGACCTGCACACGGCATCACAGTCTGTTTTGCATGCAAGCCATCTATCAGTGGCAAGCATTGCACGAAGGAAACAGCTGATGTAAAACAAACACGAGAGATCATGAAGAAAACAGGACACATTATGACAACACAAGTA